CTGAATCATTCTATGGCTAGTTTTTTATGTGGTTGGCAGATGTTTTCATAGTGAGATATAATATGATTACAAATTGCATGTGTCTATTGTATCTACAATATCTTCTTTTTGCAGGATGGAGAGGCTTATGCTTACTTGCTTAATGCTCTTGCCCCAGAAGTGGCTGGCCCATCTGCCTTAGCAGCAAGTGATCCAACGGAAAGGGCTAGCTTGGTTCTTGAGCAGGCAGAGAAATTAGATTGCAAGAGATACCTCACTCCAAAGGACATAGTGGAGGGATCGCCTAATCTTAATCTTGCATTTGTTGCTCAAATTTTCCAGCATAGGTATGGTTAGTTTAAGAGTATGTGCTAATTTTTTCATTGAAAATTCATACAATAAGAACATTTTGGGATGTGCTTCTAATAACTCATGCTGTGCTCTGTCATTCTGTGAATGGGATGGGGGTGGCTCATGTATCATGTAACATTGTCACTTAAGCTTATGTATTTCATTTGTTATGATTATCGTGAAATAGGCCTTTCAGTACAAGTAATGGATATTGATCTCTCTAATTGATTCATTTGTCAGGGAAGGTTCAGTGAATGTTTAAGTTAGACGTATACAGTACAGAATGGATCTTAAGCTGATTCAGATTGTAAATTTCATTTAAATAAATCCAATATCTGTTACTTGTACTTTTGCAGGAATGGTCTTACAACAGTTGACAGTCAGAAAATGTCCTTCGCTGAGATGATGACTGATGATGTAGAGACATCTCGGGAAGAACGATGCTTCAGACTATGGATTAACAGTCTTGGAGTTGCTACTTATGTCAATAATGTTTTTGAGGATGTCAGAAATGGGCAAGTTCTTCCATTGTTCTGTTGGCTCACCATCTGCGTCTTCTATTTTCTTATCATTTCTGTTTTCAACTTATGTCATCTTTTAATGTTTTCTTTAACCTTTATTGATTGTGATTGTCCTTATTTCCTTTTATGCAGATGGGTTCTATTAGAAGTTCTTGACAAGGTTTCACCAGGATCTGTCAATTGGAAACTGGCCACAAAGCCTCCTATTAAGATGCCGTTCCGAAAAGTTGAGAACTGCAACCAAGTTATACAGATCGGGAAGGACCTAAACTTTTCATTAGTGAATGTTGCTGGCAATGATTTTGTACAAGGGAATAAGAAGCTCTTAGTGGGTGAGTGTCATGTTATCCCCTTTTTGTGATGATTTCTTATTGGTAGAGAACCTTTTATAATTGTGTGGTGGGTTTCATGTCTTTTAACATCTGCTTGAATTCTGTTTTGTCATCATCCATTGGTTATTTTGTTGTGTCAATGCATTATTTTATGCTTCAATTCTCTCTAGGTAATTCTGCCAACTAAAGATTGTCAATAGCCAGGATATATTTTTGTGATGCATTACTTAGGAATTTCAGAATGTTCTCTATAGCGCTTATGTATGCTGTATACAAAAAAGGATATATGTTATACGTAATACAAAACATAAAGCTTTAATCCAGCCCATATTAGGGAATATTCATCTTCTTTATTCTTTGTCCCCAGCATTTTTGTGGCAGCTGATGAGGTTTAATATGCTTCAACTGCTGAAAAATTTGAGATCTCATTCCCAAGGTAAAGAGATTACCGATGCTGATATTCTAAACTGGGCAAACAACAAAGTGAAAAAAACAGGAAGGACTTCTGAAATGGAAAGTTTCAAGGTACAGAACCATCTATTGAGAGTTATGTGTGTGTGATTATACAATTATTGGTACTCTTAATTTACATTTCTCTATAACAATTATCAGTACATTTGTTTGTACTGCTTGTTTTTGGAGCGCAATCACAGGAATCTGTTATCAATAGCACTAAGTAATTTTATTAAGGCTTTTGAATGAAGAAAAATATCGTTCAGTTTTTATGAAGGACAATGTACTCGATTGTTGCTTTGATTTGGACTACAACTCATCGTTAATGTTTATGTATTCTGCTTCATCAGGATAAGAATCTTTCCAGTGGCGTTTTCTTCCTTGAGCTTTTGAGTGCTGTGGAGCCAAGGGTTGTCAACTGGAGTCTTGTTACTAAAGGGGAGACTGGTATGCCAACTGAGAATTTATGCTTCTAGAATTCTGTCTGGAACTCTTTAATTTCTCAACAATCATATTTAGTATTAATATGATGAGAATATGCTTACCTTATTGGCAACAACTGGAAATTTCAAATTATTCTGTCTTGAATTACAGATGAAGATAAGAAGTTGAATGCAACATATATAATCAGTGTTGCTCGAAAACTTGGGTGTTCCATTTTCCTGTTACCTGAAGACATAATAGAGGTAAGTTCCTAGGTGTTTTAAACATAATTTTGCTAGTAATTACGCTAGAGTTGTCCATGGAAAAGGACAATTTTTTATTTAATAGGTTGCAGTCTCCAGTAAACATTCTTTTATAGGATCATTGATACATGATGTTTCTTAGTTCTTAAAATTGGAATAGTACGTTTCAACAATTGATTGATTGTTGTATATGACGGAGAGCTCATGTCATTTATCCAAAGTAAATAATGTTTATGGAAAAAAAGTTTTTTCTAGTATCTAAATATATCTTTTCATTGAGCTTCCTGCCCACATAAATGTTTCAAAACAGGCCATTAGTAAATCTTGCACATTTATTATATTAGTGCTTACCTAGATTTCATCAGACTTTTTATCTGTCCTTTATTTGGCTGAGAAATTTTATGTCCGACTCTCCCTTATCTTGCATTTAACCTTGACAGGTCAACCAGAAGATGATACTCACTTTAACTGCTAGCATAATGCATTGGAGCCTGAAGAAACCTGAAGACCACAGCAACCGCGAAGCAACGCCTGCAACTCCGATGGAAAATGAAAACGAAACAGATGTAGTTGACAAGGTATCCAATTTGTCCGTTAATGATGATGATGCTTCGGAGAATCCCAGCACTGCTTAAGTAGAAAGGTTGAAGAAAACCATATCCAATCGAGAATGAACGGACACAACACAATTTTGTTTATAGAACTAAAAGAAGATGCCAACCTCTCGGGTTCCCTTTTCGAAAGAAAGCTTATTGTTTATTATGAAAAAAACCACAGATAATAAGGATATTGTAAATTCTTATTTTAGATTTTTTGTACTTAGGCATATTCTTTGATGAAAATTGCATGCGAAATTTCCCAATAATAATATGGATGGAAGGCATTCTTTTGTTTTCCGTCCAACTAAGATTATTTTTAATGCGGTGTATGCAGATACGAATTGAAGTGGATGAAAAGAACCAGTGATTATTTATGCTAGTTCATGCTATGTATGACAATTGAATACCTTGTATGCCAATTTTTTTGTCTTTTGTTTTCCTATAACTTTCTTAACTCTGTTGTCAACATCGCATAATGTAATACATTTTTATTTTCCGAATAATACTGCTTTATTATAGAAAACATCTCAAAGGAATTATTCATCTCATCATTTCCCTTGAACCATGTACTTTGTCTTCTACTTGGTAAAAACCTTCAGCTCTCAAAGTTCGTTTAACCTTCCCTATATTTTCTCTATGAATTTTCTATCTACAATTACATTATCTTAATAAAGTAGCAGGATATGCTGATTCCAGACTAACGTAAACAGATAAGGTTTCAAAGTCAATCCTTGATGTAGTCGTAGATAATTTATGTGGCTTCGTGTTCTATTCTTACCCTAGTTATGATCTATTCACACATTTTTAATTGCTATCAAATACAAATCTATTTCTTCTGCAGTACCTTCCATGTTAGACCTAGATGATCATGGACTCTACTATACCATGAGTGAACACGTCTCACTCTTAGGCTTAGTGAAATAACTCACCGATAACTTTGTAGTGAAATGATTTTTCATTACAGAATAATTTAGGTTGCATTTAGAGAAAAAAATTAAATATGTTTTCCTGGAAATTTAACGTTTTTTAAATCATTATTTTATTTCTCTGTAAGTATTTAAAGTTACAAAAAATATGTGCTTTTAGCTCATGTAAAAACATTGGTGAATAAAACCTTTTAAAGCTAAAAGGCACTATCTATATATAATTAGAAGAACACAAATAGGGCACCATTTTGTTGATCTTTGCAACTTTCATCGACTGTCATTATGAACAGAAGTACTGAACCGATGTTGATTGTTGCACCAAACACATCAACACATACAACTCTAATCTCCAAAAAAGAAAATGAAAAAAATTAAAATATATATTCAAAACGAATGTCCTCGTTTAAATTCATCCCATGGTAGTCCATCTTTGCTTATCAACCTTGTCATTAGATGAAAAGTTGCAATCAACTCCACCATATAATTTTTTTTTTCATTTATTACGATTACCCTTTTATACTATACCATAAAGAATAATGGTAAATTTCATCTCTTTAAATAAGATTTTAGATTTATAATATTTGAACATGAAATCTTACTTAAGGGTAGAAAAAATATAGTCTTTTTGCTGTAGGCTTGATTGTCCAGAAAACGTAGAAATTGAAGCAGAAGATGGCAAACAGCTCAGGAACCACGGGATCGCATTTATTCATACACACCGTCATAATAAATCCCTTTTCATACTTCATTCATCAATTCATTCCTATTCAGCGTTGCTAAAGCTTCTTTTTCAACTGTGTGCAAGAAAAAATAATCCCTTTAATCAAGAATTCTGACTAAATAAAGGGCTTAATTCGCGACGTGTAACCAACCAACCAGTATTCAATGCCCATAAGATGATTTTTCCAATACATGAAACACCACCATCTTCATTTTGATATAAATAAAATATTTCAATTATATTTGTTAATTATATTTATTAAAAAATAAACTTTAAATCTAATTCAATTCTAAAAAAATAATTTGTAAAATAAAATTTAAATTTTATATACTTTAAATTAATCTTATCCTTATTTCTAATCAATTTAAGACTTGTAATAATATTATATTTTAATTATAAGAGAATATGAGTGAAGAAGGGTGAAATTTGATGTTGATAGAAATTATAAGATTAATTAATAGATTATTATGTCCGTATCCAAATTTACACTTAATGACCTACAAACATCCTGAAAATGAACAGGGCTTGTGTCATGCCCCGAGGGCGATACCATTTCAGATTAAATTAGAGAAACGTAACGTAACGAAAGGTACCAAAAAAAAACCCAAAAGACATGAAATGAAAGCTAATGCTATTTGTCATCTGTTCTAAGGGAATTTAACCGTCTGATCCTCTGATCAAGCTCCTTCATCACTTCAGGTTCTTGTTTCTTCCTTTGCTTTGATATCGTGTTTGTTGTCATTGATCCTATCTTATCAAATGCCACCTGCAAACACAATCAATTTTTCATTCAACAATTGCATTATTATTAAATTCGTCAATCTTATTCCTTGTAGTGCTTTTCTTCTTCTCATAGCATTCTATAAGATAGTGAGATTTTGTCTTACTGTCAATAGATCGTCTGGATCAAATAGATGATGCGTGGTCGTCTGCAAAATGTTGATCACTTCGCCAACATGATGGGTTAGAATCAACTCATCTTCCTTCATCTGCAATTTGCAGTCACCATTGTTCAAACATCCTTTCCAATGTTCAATAAAAATAATAAAGTTAACCACGATTTTAGTCTCTAAACTATAATGCGATTTTAGTTTTCGTTCTTATCTCAAACTTTGATCTTGTTAGATTCCTATACTTAAAAAATGTATGAATGTAGAGTCCCTTCATCCAATGGTATTAACTGTTTTTTAGCATAACAAATGGCAAATCACACTGATATTTGACAAAAGTGGAACTTGTGGATTACATCCAATGCATAAAAAATAATTAATGTTATAAGACTATATTTATGTATTTTTTAAGTATAGAGACCTAACAAGATCAAAGTTTGATAGGGACGAAAACGAAAATCGGATTATGGTTTAGGAACTAAACATATCTAACCCAAAAAAATCCAACAAAGAACAAAAGGGCTAAGGTAGTGGTACCTTAAAGATTGGCCAAGGCCACGTTTAAATATAACCTTAGCCCTCGTTGAAGATCACACCCAGACGCGAAGCAGTGTCCTGATCCATGGAGTAATGGTTAATTTATTGAATTTGAAAAAAAAAAAACAATTTACTTTTTTGATTTAGAATTTATTGCCGGCTTATTCGAACCTCGGAAGGCAGAACTTTGAGAGAGGCAGAGGAACCACTCTGTGTCAACTAAGTAAAGGAAAAGGGGAAGGATGGGCTTTCCTCCCCTTTTTTTTTCCCTCTTTTTCCCCCTTTTTTTTCATTTCCTTCCCCATTTTTTCATGTGTACCTTTTTCCTACAAGCCCGTGGTGATTTAAAACTCAAATGCCCCAAGATTCTAATGACCGCAATCCGCATGTCCATCACTACATTTTTCAGAAAGTATACTGGGAATCAAACAATACGATACACAGTTCACCCATCGTGTACAATTAACCTCGGACCTTTCCTTAGCCAGTAAATCTTTAAACACTCGCTGTTCCACATGGCATCCTGACAAGTTTTTTTGTTGTGTACCAGTCATTCCCCAGGACATTCTCCAACAAGAACGCAAGCATCCAAAATGCATCTCCTGTCTTCATCACAAGCAACAACAATGCTGCCACGTATTTAATCCCTGAGCAGTAATATAGTGAGAGTTTGCAGTTGAAAGATATGTACCAATATGCACTCAATATTATTTAATTCAAGTAAACAACCCAATATGTTATTGAGTATAACTTCAATTTTAACTGGTGAAACATGTGGTGCTATAAAATACGTGGATGAGCAGTTGAAAAACAAACGTGGGAACAACATAGAAACTGATCCATGCTTCAGTCACACCATGTCGTTAATTTACAAGAGAATATTCAACCAGCATGTTGCTATTGTTTTGTGAACATGTAACATTCTCAATCAGGAATGAAAAAAGCATAGAAGAAGCGTTTTTTGTTCATGATGTGAATAAGCATTAAGTCATTGAAAAAGGAAGCCACATAAAAGATATTTTCTCTTCAAATACCTAATACAGACACATAACAAAGTTAGAATTTTGTCCTTTCATGTACTGCGAAGAGAGACACTACTTCAAAAGAAAGAACAGAGCAAACCTACCTGACAATACCCAACATCAGAATCACGGAAGGAATAAGCAACGAGAACACGCCTGAGAGCAGCATGCCCCTCAGGAGTGTCCAGCCATGGGTGGCCAGGGAAGGTTCGGGGTAGGTCCTGCAAACGTGTTTACGGAATGATTAGAAACAGAATAAACGTAATTAGCATTATAACAAGTGGGCAGGTTCAAATTATTCTCAAACAAAAATCAATAATCAAACATCATTTTAAGGATAGCAGCAAACACCCTGATGACAGTTGCCTTTCCAAAACCATAAAGTGCACATTGTTAACTAAGTAGATAAACAGCATCCACATCCCAATAAATATATACAAAAGTCTACATTTTGTATACGCAAACTCCATCCCTAATCTTTAACTATACCAAGGATCACACGAATTACCATCTCTTTCTGATCAGCTTTTACTCAAAGCCACATTTTGCCTCAACCAAATTTTGTGTAAATTATTAAAATGGGATATACCAATAGGGCTCAAGTATCCTATAATTGTAAAGGTTACAAACATAGGGCTGACAAATGCTTCAATTCCTGCAGATATTCCTTCATTCTCAATATCATAGCATCCATAAATACAAAATTTTACTCATAGGGGAAAAAACACAAAAGCAACGCAGACAATCATTCATCAAAATCTGCTGCAAGATTTTGTCTGAAATTTTTGTCAGAAGGCACAACGCAATGTCCATACAAAGTGATTACTCCTTCAAATCAATTTGAAAATGATCCACAAACCTGCAAACACTTGTCAAATAAAAGGTAACCAAACAAACCAGAAGGACCGTGATGCCCAGAACCATAATAAAGAAACTTGTAATCAAATTCAAAACCAAACCAAACTGTGTGCGATGATCATAAAAAGAAAAGGGTGAGCTCCTCACATGATCTATCTGCCGGGTAGCAGGGGTGACCTTCCCATCCACAGCTTTGGTCAAATCATCATAATAACTGTCAGGCACGGTGGACTTTTTCTTGGCTGCCCCTGACAAGGAAAACCAAATCTTAGGCCTGAGAACTGGGGGTATCCCCTTCCTGATCAACTTCTTCAACGTTATAGCATTGGTCAGAGCTGAGAATTTTAAGGAGGATGTAAGGGCACTGCTTTGCCCGATGGTAGTGTGCAAATACCAATTTGCCCCCTTGCTGGCCTCCAATGCCCACCAAACTCTTCCCTGTTGCCTCACCTTCTCCCTTACCTCATTCAACACATTCACATCATCAACATTCCCTTCCACCGTGAATCCATAAAGGTCTTGGAATTTCACAGTCAGATTTGCCCTCCTGGAATGGATGCTGGGCCTCAAAACTGCTACCTGAGATTGGTATTCAAAGGCAAGGTCAATTTTGCTTTTGGTCCCATACATTTTTTCTTGTGTCGGATCAAGAAAGACTGCCACAACAAAGGGCTGGGCTTGGCTTCCCTTCGGTGTTCAGACTAGGTTGTCTTATGTATTGGGAAAAGGAAGGACCTTGTCAAATAACAAAACTACCCACTAGTCTGAAACCGTGAAAAGGTCCATTCCAAGGACCTGGGTGCTTAAGATTAGGTGAGGAGACGCCGCAAAGTTGTCAGAAACAAAATGGGTGCAACAAGATTTGGGGAAACAAAGGTTGGAGTCAGAAATTATAAAAAAAGGGACAAGCTTTGAAAGACCCTTTCTGCATCCTGGAGGAAGCTTGAGCCTTTGATGTATTGAGCTCAAATATCTTGGGCGAGTCTATTGAAAACACTTCACAAATGTGAATTGTGGACAGAAAAAAAAAGGAGGGTTGAATATTCAAGAAAAGAGAGACAAGATGAGACCCAGGAAGACAGAGGTGGAAAAAACATAGAAAAAAAAAAAGAAAAAAAGCGAAAATGAGGGAAATTAGAGATCCTTTAAGATGAATGCAAGATAAGAGAGAGGAATGATTGGAAAAGATTAGGTCTTGAAATGGGTAATGAGATGAAGAAAAGAAGGAATTAGAAAGAAAAGGAGAAGAATAGAAGGCTGGAATTTAGGGAGAATTTTTGCATAGAAAGAATGTAAAAACAGAACGGAGAAATAGGGATGCCGATCTGAGCTGGTTGCTGCCTCTGGCCTCTGCTACAAACGCTCGCTCTCGTCTTTCTCTTCTATAATTCTTCTCACTCGTTTAAATTTCACCTTTTTCATAT